TGCTATTCTGACCACTGCTCCACACTGTTGCTCTGGCCACTGCTCCACAATGCTGGTCTGACCACTGCTCCACACTGCTATTCTGACCACTGCTCCATACTGCTATTCTGACCACTTCTCCACAATGCTGGTCTGACCGCTGCTCCACACTGCTCTGTGTGGCTGCTCTCACCACTCATCCTGTGCTCCTCACTCTTGGTCTTGTCAGAGTCCTGCGGGAGTTTGAGCAGCTGCCCTGTCACCTGACACAGGAGCCATACCTCTTTTCCATGGATGACCTTTTGAGGGTCAAACGTGGCCAGCTGGTCCCTCAGGCCAAAGCACTGCTCCAGGTGGCCATTGCCCATGTGGACACCTGTCAGGTCAGTCCACTGATCATCATATGACTGCCTTCTCTGGATCATCAGCCTGATGGAGGTCAAGATTATTCATTCCTGAGTCACAATTTCATACCTTCAAACCAGTAACATGTCTAATTACCTATTCAGGTAAAGTCAAAAGTGAATGTAAAAGGTGATGTAATTATATTTCACTAAACTCATTTTGCCTTAATGTGTGTGCTAATTGAACTGATCCATTAGACCTCCAGAGGCAATGTTCTCCTTTTAGAATGGCCCCTTGCTGAGAAGAACTAAGACAGTCTGGCCTGTGAAATAAATCTACCAAGCAGATAAGCAGCTACCAGCGGTAAAATTGGGCCGAACACAAGCAGCCGTGTTCCCGGCGGCACCGTGGAAGGAGGGTCGAGACGCTTCCTGCCCCGGCAGCGGCCTCACGTGCTGCTGCCGCTGTGTGTGAAAGATCGTGGCCTCACGCTGAATCAGTGCATTTTATTTCCAGCTCTGCCTGGCCAAGGGCTTCATCTGCGAGTTCTGCAAAAAGAAGGACGTGCTCTTTCCCTTCCAGACACACACTACCAAACGCTGCAGAGGTGAGAGTTTACCCATGTGTTCTGCTCTGACAGGCAGGACATGTGATCTCCTTCATGATGACATGCCATCCTAAGATAGAGAATGACGTCAATAATGTGCAATGAAATTTAGAAATCCAGCCTTGAAAACAGCAGGTTCCAGGTTTGAACCCCAGTTTTATGGGGGGGCTTGAGTTTGCTCTGCAGGCCCCGGTGACATGTATTTAGAGTATTTAAAATCTTGCGACTTTGGACAGGAGCATCGGCCAAATAAATAAATAAATGTTGCTTTTTCTCTTCCCAGACTGCAAAGCCTGTTTCCACATTGACTGCTTCAAAGATGAGGAGTGTCCTAAATGTCTCCGGATTCAAACTCGGAAAAGGCTCACAGACACCCCTCAGACTGAGTAGCACTGTCTGTTTTTTATTTCTGTAACTTAAGTGGAACTTATGACTGCAAAGGTTAAATGTCACATGGTGCTCCTGTGTTTTAACCTTGAGTGAGGTACTGAAATTGATTTGTTTAGATATACCACCCTGGAAAGCCCCTTCTTTCCAAAGCCACATGAAATGTGGATCCTGCAAACAAGCTGCCCACCGTAGTTTCACTGCTGTTAAAATTTATACTGAATACTGAGTATTCTGAAATAATAAAATGCCATGCATTTGAAACCCAGCCCAACAGGCCCAGTACTGTAAGAAAATGACTTTAGGAACACTGTGTGATAGTACTGTAATGTGTGGTGTGAATTTCTCACATCAAACCAAACACTTCCCCAGGGTTTTTATTCTTAGAAACACTGTCAGCGCATCACATACTACTGTGTGAAGAACAGTTCTCACTTGCTTTCTTTTCTGTGTGTGTGTGTGTGTGTGTGTGTGTGTGTGTGTTTGTGTGTGTGTGTGCGCGTGTGCATGTGTGTGTGCACGTGTGAGAGAGAGAGAGAAAGAGAGAGTTAAACAGAAGACTGTCTGATTCTTGGACTCTAACTGTTCCTGCTGTCCTCTGTGCTTTTGTGTCAAGGCGGTTCCATTTGGTCCCAGAAGGTTCTGATCCTGCTGCTCCAGCTATGAACTTTTAGCTTCATCAATGGCTGAGACAGACTTTTCAATGCTAAGCACGTAGCTGATAGCATCTGTTCAGTAAATCGGATCTCTGTCGTGTTATGACTGTGTTTTTTCTATCAGGTTGACATTTGTGTCTCACAGTGTGAATGTTCTTAACTGTGCCTTTGATGTGTTACAAAATGTATAAATCGATCGAACACATACAATTTTGACTTGCAAAGAGGAACGAATACCACTCTGAAAACATCTGGATTTAAACTGCTGTGGGACTTTCCCCGTTTTAACTATGATGATAACGCCCACAGATTCTTGCCCTGAGTACAAGGGCGTGTTAACTTGAAATGCGTGTGTTCAAACTCGAGATTCTTATCAGTTTTCTAAATTCTGGCAAATAAATTTCTCAAAATATATTTTGGTTTTATTTTAAACTATTGCTGTAGAAAGGAGACACAGCCCCACCTGCTGGACTGTAAAGAAATTTTACCAGCGAAGAGACCCTTTTATCGGCCCTAAAAAGTTTCACAGCAACAGAAGGGTTGCCATATTGTTTCTTATGTCCGCACCCCATAATTATGCACAATATATATAAAATAATATAATATAAATAAAACCTTTCTCTCCATAATGTCTGACATACAAAGGATTCAAACAATATGACACACCATATCACAACACTGCTCCCTGTATAGGAACAGTCACAGTCTGGCGGAACAGAAACCATATCACTGCTCCCATTGTGAGTAGAAAAGCCTCAGCTAATGTGCTAATGCCATCACACAGAACAGAAACCACACCACTTCTACCAGGCTGGGAGGAGTCAGTAAATCACTGACTGCAGCAGGCATTTCTCACAAAAGAAGTACTGAAAACGATTTACTTCTATATAATGGTGTCGGTGGTATGAAGGTGCATCTTGTCTTTCAACTTTGTTTTTTTCTGTGGAAGTAAAAAGCTATGCACTGTAACGGTGTGAATAATACTTTTTAAGACAGTGGGACTGGAGCCCATATCTTGCAGTGATCAGAACCCTGATTCAGGTGAAAGACTGAACAGAATCTTGCCTCATAGATGGCACACCTAGTATTATCAGTATTAGCACATCCCAGTGTGTTAGTAGGAGTAGTAAAATGCATTTTTTATGGTCTGATTATTAAGACTATCTCTTTGCATCTCTCTCATTGGTTTGCTGCAATACAAGCCTTGCCTACATGACACCTGTGAGATGATGCAAATGTCTCAAGTGCTGGTTTCATTTCTATGGGGGAACTGCTGTTGCACCCTTCAGACAGATTACATAAGTTGCTTCATTGCCTGTCGCTACAGTTGACCTTGACAGTACACAGTTTGCTGTACAAGGGATGTCTGTTTAATAATTTCAAGTCATGTTGGATTGAAAAAATATTTTGCTGGCAACAGGTATCTACAGTATATGCATTGGCAGCTGTAGAGGCAGAAGAACTGAAGAACTTGTGTGCTTGTTTGTTTTGTGCAGCAATTCAGGGTGTCCAGTCTATTTACACATTCCTCCCTTCAGGCCAAATGTAACTTGACTTCCATCAGGTTATCTATCCCAGAAATGCATTCAGACAGCTCTTTTCTAGGCCGACCCTGTCTTGTCTTTGTCAAAGCATGCAGAACAATTACACCTTTGTGTGTGACACCTTTGTTTTCAATTTCATTTACAATAAAATCTTGGCAGTAGCTATAACTGGTTTGTGAAGCAGTGTTTTTTTTCCTGTGTGGTGTTTTTTTTAACAGTTGTATCCTTCTCCACCAACCTCGAAACAATGAGTCTGCTGTACCATATCAATCAGGAAATATACACTAGTGCATACACCACTGCAGCTTGCCCAACAGCAATTCCCCCATGTACAGTTGGACCCTCAGAATTTTTTACAACTTGTCAGTGAGGATGATCATTAATATTAATGCCATTAATATATTAATAGTATTTGTGGTACAAAGCCTTTAAAATGGACTTGGGCATTTTTTTTCTTTCTATTTGGTCAACTGTATCTAAAATGACCATATTGTTCAAAATTACAAAATTGCTGGTAACACTGCTTGGTACCTGACTATGTCGTCCATATTTTGGAGGCCTGCTGTCAGGTTTTTAACACTTGGTCATTGTCTTTGTGTCAAGTGTAACCTCTGCTGTGCTGTCGCTTTTATTTTATTTACACAAAGCCCTTTTGACTGTTGATTTATTTCCTGCAATTCAAACAACTAACTCTATTACAAAAACATTCCAGTGATTATTTGCATTCATAGACTAGTGAAAACAAGTTAACATCATGAGATCACTTGGATGTCTGTGACAGTCATGTGTCCCCAGGCCGCGCTGCCCATAGAAGACATTCTCTTTTTGCGCGCGAGTGGTCATACCCCTATTAATTAGCCTCCATCCTCAATGTAAGAAGGTTTTGTGTTGAAAGCGCACCGACTATGTACGGTTCCACATGGAGCAGGCGGGGGATAGGACACAACGCCTACCACGTAAGTTATTCGTTTGCCAGATTTCTCCGGGTGTTCCTTGACAAACTTTTTTTTTTCCTGAAAAGTTTTTCTTGAAAGAAAGTCAAGTTATGCGCTTGTCATGTCTCTCAAGAATAGAAAGAGCAAGGAAATCGAAACAAACTGTTTTTAATCGCTAAAATATTTGATGGTTGTATTTCTCTGATCTTGCCTGGTCCTGAACTAAGCTAAGACTAATTCTGATTTGGTCAATTACACTGTTTTTTCTCTTTTTTGTAGCCCTAGCAATTTGAATGTCAGTTTAATCTAGTTTGTGGCTGTTGAGACACATGGACAATGTCACTTTTTAAAACAACCAGCAATGGACAATTTGACAAAAAAGTCAAATTATTGAAACATATTTTTTTGCATCCTCCCAAAGTACATATTTTCATGGAGTTTTATGTGGCAAGTAAAGGTTCCTATAATACTTTCAAGGGAATAACTGCAGGTACTGTAGTGATTTTTGATGTAAGGTTGCTGTGGTAAAAACTGTTTTCAAAAGCTTGGTCATAAGTGGGACTTGACCCCACTCCTTAATTTGGAGGACAAAACGTTCATTGCAGTAAAAAGGTTAATACTTTGAGTCTGATGCATTAGACCACTCAGCTATTCTGACGACTACCTATGGCACGTAAAGTAGTGGGACGGGTATGTTTAGAGGAACAGTTTATAATTATTATATTTGTCAAATATTGTTTGTCATTTCGAGTTCCAACACTCTTTCAGTCCAACTTTTGCGTCCGTATAAATGGGATCTAGCGCCTCCGTCTGGCAATTTACGTAAATACATTCACGTCCTGCGCTATATACTCAAAGGCAAAGGTAAAGTCATCGGTATTGATTTTTTGTAAAGGCCGATTTCAACTCTCGGTTGAACCATTTAAGTCGTTTAACCATTTAATGTCTCTGTACATGATACACTTATCCCGGCAGTTATGTCCCAATTCTACCTTTCTTTGCAAACTACAAACTCTGAATTTCAGTTACTGATGATATTTAATTATATTTACTGATGATATTTAATTATATTTTGTGAGATTGTGAGATATAGTTAGCCAGTACAAATATGTCTATATGCCACGTTAGCCAAAAAATGCAACTAGATAATAATGCACTTTCTGTTTTCCATCATCTGAGATTTCAAAAAATGCGTTTTTCACGTTAGCAAAAATAAGCGCAAATGTGCTTTGTTATAAAATTAAATGAAGTACAATGTAAAGTTATTTTTAAAAAATTCTTGTCAGAAGTGGGATTCGAACCCACGCCTCCATTCGGAGACCAGAAGCCCCATTTTAGAGGAAGGTATGAAACCTTGAGTCTGGCGCCTTAGACCACTCGGCCATCCTGACAATCTGACTACAAACTTCCTTACAGTGGCTTTAGTCAGTAACGTAACAGCAACATGCGTTATTTGTTCATTACATAGATTACTTAGATATTTATCTTATGTATGTTGTTGTGACTAAGGAACAATTGCTTCACTCATCATAGCTAAACTTCACTATGTCGCATCCGACGTTTTACGTCGGGTAGCATTTGCTAGCTAGTCTGCCTGACTAGATAGCAGTTTATCCTAGCAGGCTCGTTTCTGCCGATTATCCGATACATTATCCAGTTGGCTAGCAAACTAGCAGCATTACGATGCGTTTTTATAGCACCCGCTTCCAGATCTATTCCTCTGGTTGACATAAATCGGTGGACAGCCATGCTTGTGAATGGCAGGCGAACCGGATAGCTGTCGGTTAAAGAGTTCAGTGGATGTCCCGTGTTAGACAGCTACGCTAAGCAGAACAGAAACAGAACAAAAGATACTCAACTGCCTCTGTGTATTTGTCTAGTTCGATAGCTCATTAACTACACTAAATATGTACACTAAAACCATGGGCGAAAGATTTCTTTTGAAAACGTATTAAAATGAATTCATGCCCTAATATTTAGGAGCTAAGAAAATGCATGTATTTTGCAATCGGATAGAAGTAACTGGCCTGGATGGCATGAGGGGGATTTGACTCGGTTAGATAGTGACATAGTGAGAAAGATATAACTTAGCCACACGTTAGAGTCAGCCATGCACCCGGTCACAATACGTGTGTTTGTTCACGAGCATCATTTCAAAGCAGCTGTGCATACCCATAAATAATAACATCATATGGATGACCTAATAGACAGTCCAGGTCACTGTGTGTACGTATCCGTTTTAGATACGGATTAGCGAATCTGCGCAGCGCTTGCTCTAAACCGATGTGTGTCGAAGCGGGCAGATAAATCGTCCAGCAGAAGCAAACCAAGCAGTATATGTTGCTGTAGCTATAGCCTGTCCGCAGAGACTTGTACCTAGAGGATAGCGCTATAGCTCGGAAGCTAGCTGTTTCATTTTTAAGTAGTAAAAGGTGACAGCTTCACCTGAGAACAGATCATTATAATAACCACACTGACGTTTTTCAATTCTCAGATTGCTAACTTTAACGTTACGTTAAACGACAAAATGGCAAAACACTATTCAGTTGTGCTGGTCGTTCAAATCATAGACAAGTGAACTCAGAGGCTTGCCTGCAAACCAGGTTGCAGGCTAAATAAATAGCAAATTAGCTAGGTAGCTAGCTAAGTAATTAAAAATGAAAAAGATTTCACCAAAGTTGCTCGGTGTGACCAAACATGTGGCAAAGTCTTCGGAACCGGCCACCGAGCAGGTCGGCATGGTCGTCTGTCAGAAGAATCAGGTATCGGGGTCTTACGGCACCGCACCTGTTACCGAATCGGAACCGGAGAGCCGGGACAGTATCAAACTGCACCAGGAACATCAGGAGGTCAGCTTTTCAAGAGATGGATTCGATAAACATAAGGTCAGTGCGGAAAATGTTAACCACCAAAGTTAGTAAACTCGATCGAAAGCTATTTAATTCATGTCTGTAAATCTGTGAGCGTGAAAGTGGTGGAACAGTCTGCAGTGTAACGTTAACTGAGGCATTGTAGGTGTCTATTTGGCTGTATGTAACATTGTACATTTTGTAAACATAAAATATTCTGGCTGTGTAACAACGAACAACTTTATTGAGTTTGTAATGTGCTTATTCTGCTCGGTCTGGAGCCGTGTAGACTTTCTACCAAGTGACTGTGGTGAAGATAAGCGCTAGCTAGTGTTTCAGATTGCGTGTAGCCAAAAGGTATTGTTAACTATTTCACCGAGAGTAGTAGGCCTGGATTGTGTTAAAAGTCAAATATTAATCAATATTATTCTTTCCTTCCAATTGTTCTGCGAAGAACTAGGAAGCTAATCACAGCAAGAATAAAACTTTCTAGAATACAGTAGTGCCACACACTATTGAATTGGCCATTTCACTTAACTGTTACATCTCACCTTATCCTTAGAATGTAGATAGTAAACTATATGTTAACTCGACCCTATAATAGGTCATGCTTTACTCTCAGGAGTACACGTATCCTTAAATATAATTTTCTGGGTGTTACAGCATATGTTTTTTATGTGGAATGGCAGGGGTCGCTCACCTTTGAGTAAACTGCGAGTATTTATTTAAGGACAGTCTTTTTTAAACTTTTATCAGATGTGCCTATATTAAGACTTGTGAGACTTTTTTTGAACAATTCTCTGGCTCAATAAAATGTCATATGGTAGAATGAAGTGTAGTTATTGGATTCTTGTACCCTTAACCTAGAGGTCATGTGTTTTAATCCTTGGTTTGTGGTTGTGCCCTATAGTGCTGCATAGAATATGTCTCTCCAAAAATAATAATAATACATATAGACATACATAAGATGTTTAAATAGGTTAGTGAAACAAGGCTGAAACAAAGTCACCCTCAATCAGAACATCAGGCAAAGCAAATATAAAAGAAATTTAGTTAAGTGGGGTTAGGGTTTCCAGTCCATTGTGGTTGCTAAAGTTCCAGTCAGTGTGGCCTGAGCAGTAAATGAATATTGACTCTAAGCGGTATCTCATTTGCCCCGTGTGAACAATACGGAATCACATGGGCCTGCCACAGCCAATCACGGAAGCCTCTGCTTCCAACTTTTAGACCTTGGACCTGACACTGCCTCCCGAATTTCCCCACATGGGCAAAGGACCCTTCTCAGAGCTGACTGGTCTTATTATCATGTGACCTACTGTAACTTTGGGGGAAATAGCTATCAATTCCAACAGTGGAGTTTCTTTACACCAGTGCTGCCAGCTCTAAGCAAAAAAGCTGGTCAGCTGGTTTCCTTCTGCAGGCATGAAGGGTACAACTTGATGTCATCCACAGGCTACACATTATCTTCTCTTTTACAGTCTGATGTGATCATAAACACATACAATGCATAATTTACTATTATTTAATTACTATTAAATAATAGTAAATTATGCATTGTACTATTTGTACTATTTTTTTTGTACTATTTGTACTATTTTTTTTCCTAGATTTTGATTATTAGAAGAAGAAATCAAAGGTCTTGATGGGATACTATAGTCTCTGGATCTGATGACAAAATCAGAAATTTGACAACATTTATTTAAACCTTACTTCATGCATCACGTGCAGGATGAGCTCTCTGACTGCAGAGGGTCGTGTCAATATTTTTAGTGTCAAACTTGAGTCCATCAGTAGGACAATAATGAAATCGGGTGCAGACAATGTGTTGTTCGCTGGCTGTGTCATACAACAATCACTGGTTTAAAAGTCTATGATTTCGAAATACGTCTTTTAATTGAACATCAAAGGGGCACTATGAGGGAAACAAATCAAAAATGCTCATAACCTTAAATGGTTGGAACATCAGACAATGGATTATGTCATACATTTTCTGGCTGCATCCCATGTAATTTTGTGTGGTTGTGTTATTGTACTGTTTTGTCATGAAAGCAAATCTGATGCATATAGGGTTCCTCTTCTCGCTCTAGCTAAGAGTCATCCTCAGAACTGCTTTCTGTTTTCATTCAGTTTGGGTTTTACGTGGTTCTGTGTGAGTATGTGATCTAGCCTTTCCTTATTAATTATCTCCTGTATCCGGGCCTACGTGCAGAAGGCAGATCACTCTAATAAATCTGAGATTAACAGGTGATGAGATGTGGTTCAGTCAAAGTTCAGTCTGAGTTCATTTATGAATGGTACTTAAAAAACATATTTAGTGTAAACTTATCATAATCAATGAACACACAAAAGAAACAAGTCCTGACAGACCGCAATATAAAAACAAACAGTGCAAAATGCACAAATACTCATTTTATTGTAATTATATTTTTAATGAAGGTAGACTTCTCTAGAGCGATGCACGTCATGATTATGGTGGCAATGATAAGCTTGTCTAGGCCTAAGCAATGGTGTACATTACGCATGACAACCAAAGTGAGTTGACTCTGTCTCTCAATCAACAGTGTGCTGTACTCGCCTAGCTTCTGCAATATGTGAGTGCATATAGTATAACATCAGTGAATGAATGCTTTGTTGTTACTGTGCAGGTTATCTTGGCTAGACCGCTGTGTCTCTGTACCTTATTTGCATGGTGTCATTTCTGTGCATCATCAGCACATCAGTGGCAATGGCACGCACGCTGATTGCATTGTCACAAATGATTATTCACACAAGCGCTGAAAATGTCATGTCTTGGGACAAAATCAAAAGG